TGGACACTAGGAGGAACTCACGGGTGTTATCGGCTCCGTTAGCTGAAAAATGTATTTATCAAAACATTAGTAAGGTTTCTGTACAGTTTTCACGGAACTCAATATTAAATAACTAGATATGTCTACTATGAAAATATTTAAATCACTAAAAATTTAAATTAATAATGCAGGCCGCGCGTTTTTAAGAATTTGTAGCCATTTAAAAAGCAGTTAACTTACACGTATCATTTTTGATATATTTAGAATCCAAAGAAATTATTTCAAACACAAGCGCATCTTTTAAATGCACTCGGAAACACTCGTTTTCTGCATACATTATGAAATCTCTGGAAATACATAAAATTTTGTTTATGAACTCGCCATAGGCCCATTAGTGTATCAAAGTAACACAAAAAGAACAGTAACCATGGCAACAAGTACCATACGTAGTCCACGTTTTAAACCTATTGCAACCGTTTATTCGTAAGTCTATGTTTTTCAATGAGCACTGAAAAGTATTCTTATCTGACATGTATATATATTACAGATATTAATTTAGAGGAATCTAGCTATCTAAATAATTACTCATTCATACAGCGGTTTATAGGTAAGACAAGAATATATTAAAATCCGGCATTAATGCAGTTAAATACGTACTTATAAAACATTTCCTTTTCAGTGAAATGTGGTAGTCTGTGCGACTCGGGCGCATTTGGACACGTAAGTCTACGTTGGAGCTTGCTTAACTTCGACTCCTGGAAAATAACATATTATGTGGAAATCTCACGAAGTAATATATCCATCCATCTATCCATCTCTTTTTCATATAAAAACAAATGAGTCTAATTGGACTCTTTTGACTAAAGTGATCCTCCGTCTCTTTCTGACAAATTGTGATTAGACTGTGATAAAAAGAGACAGATGCGACGAGTTTAAAGGTTTAGTTTTCATGAATAAATTAAAACCAAATTTATTTGATCATAATGGTAACTATGTATACTTATGAACAATATTCAAAAGAAGATCCAATTTTACATTCACTACCAGTTCCCAAATGGGGTAGAGCGGATGAAAAGAACTTACAAGAAACTATCTGCCACTCTTTTTAATCGGCAATTTTTATAAGGGTTAATCTATGAAAAGTAAAAATTTGATGATAAAAGGCGTCGTTCAAAAAAATCATGATATGTCTTCCCTTCGATGTTTGTTTATTCTGAGACATATTTCATTATACACAACACACAATGCAATTAGGAGGTTTGACTACCGGGAAAGCAGTACCTGCTTCGTTCAATATTATATTCGATTATATTATTCCATTATATTCTTACCTGTTCATTAGGTGGCAAGCACTCAGCCAACAAATGTACAAATAGTTTGGCTAGATGCGCGTGATTCGCTGCACTCGGCCCACACGATAATAAGGACTTTATACGCACACGTAGACTTGATCTAGAATTATTTTGTGTGTCTTGGTACCATCTGGAATAAAAATTACAAAATAAACAAGACAAATGTGATTTTGTCCTAAAGTTAAATCGCTTTTATGCCGATTCAGTTGCGGTTAAGAATGTTCTGTCACGTTTGAATGGAATGTAACGCAAGAATGATAGGAATATAAACATAACCTGCGTTATTAAACGTGGACTAAACATAGAATAGACATAATATGTACATTATTTGTAAAATTTATCTACTAGATACAAAGAACCGCGTCTGTTACCATGGTTACGGTGTTTGCTTTATCATGTCAAAAACAAAAAAATTGTCCCCATGCATTTTTTTTTAATGGCTCTGGCACGGTTTGTGCATTAGCCAGCGTCAAGTATAGGATTTTTTATAATTCGTGCTTGTCTTTAGAAATTCGACCGTGTCCTTCATGTACGGTTTAAGCACTCGCCCGGTACCGCACAACCCTCCCAAAGGCCGAGAACAAATTTAAATTAAATTAAAACTTGCCCTCGAACCGGGAATCGAACCCGGTACCCCTCACCTAGCTGCCACTTAATAAGACCGCTAGGCTATGAGGCCCCTTCCCCATGCATTAGTAGTGTATTTTTCATTCTGATATCCAGTACAAACAAATTATACATATTTTGGATTACGATGCTATTGGTTATGCCAACTCTATTTTTATATTACTATGTTATAATATATTTGTTTTGCTACCAGTTGCATAAAGCATTGTATGCATTTAACTTTAATTTTATCAGTAATATCGCTTTTCCATTTTACGATCAAAGATTCAATAACTACTTCGTAATGCGTTGCGTTTATTTTGGTAAGAAAGTAAAAATTATTAATTTCAAGGCTGAAATGGCTCCAAAATTGTTTCGGTTTTGTGTATTATAATAAATTAGGCTCAAAGGCATAAAAACTCACCTTAAAATCTCATAGAACATATCCCTCTGCTTCTTAAAGTTCTGAAAGCTCAATAGCGACGGAAAATTATCTGCATTATCTGTATCTAGATTGAAACAAACAATTCCATTTGATATTCTATTTTCTAGAATCATCTTCCTCTGAGATTCCATTTCACATTTCAACCCATATGCATTAAGTAAAAATTTCGCCAAATCAGGAAAAAAACTCCTTATCTTCTTGTTCTCTCCTAGTGTTTTGAGCGCGTTTTTGTCCAAAATAATTTCCAACACCAATCGCAAATTCCACAAAGACTTCACAGAAAAACAAGTACTGTTGTGAATAGTTTTCATAATATTCTGAATACTTTTATCAACTTTTCTAAAGTCATCTTCCTCTTGTTTTGATAGTAAAATAGTTATTAAGTAATATATCTCGGTATTCACACTTAAAATCAAATTATTCTTCAATAAAGCGTCATATATTAGAACTAAGTCATCGATTTTCTCCGTAAAACATACTTTGTTTACATCAGCGTCTATAAACTTATGAGATTTCTTTTCCTTCTGCAAAATTTTTATTTGAGGCGTTACCTTTGGTGCCACATTGGTGTTTAGTATATTGAATTTCTCCATTAATTTATGCCTATCCTGTCTTAGAATGTTCCTTTCTGCGTCAAAATTTTTCGAAGTGTCCTTTGATTGGAGTTTTGGTTTAAATGCAATATTTTCTTCAAGCCCTAAAGATGGTTGTTGAAATGCATCAGTAAAACTATTTAAAGACACACTTTTGTCAATAACTGTAGGTTTAATTCTACGTCTTTCTGATCGAAGGGAGTTGGCTTTTCTAGCCCCTATCTCAGGGAACATGTCTGAATTACTTAAATCTAGATCTACTTTAGGTTCCAAGTCTTCGCTTGACGCATTTTTGCTTGCTCGCTTCTTTTTGGCGCTTTTAGGTTGGGCTGAAACTAAATAATCACCTGGAACAATCAAACACACTTTTCATTCAGTTTCTAGATTATTACAAATAATTTCAAGATTGAATCTATGTAGTTGTTAAAAAAGTTTTATTACGGCTCTATACAAGTTATGGTCTTCTTGAATAGTTTTAAATTTCAAAATTGCTTACCTAAACTTATACTTTTATCTTGAGATCTAGAATGCCTACTCATTCGTGGTGTATCACAACGTTCACTAAAGCTCTTTGAAGTTGGAGTCACAGGACTTGCCATAAAATCTGGTTGCGTTCCATTTTTCAATGGTGTACTTATAGTTATTCTATACAAAGAAAAATTCAAGCTTTAAATAAAAAAAACATTAAAAAGCATTTATTATTTTATTTATTTATGGAATAAATTATTGCACTGTTCAAACAAGACATTATGATTTTGTAGAGCATGAAGTGGTAATTAATTTTATATACCTTTAATAATACCTGTTATTTTTTTAATACCTTTCAATCCCCACACTCAATCTGGATTCATCTGAAGATATAGACTGGTTTGATTTTTCCTCAGTAAATAATTTTGTTTTAACCCTGCGTCCAGTTTTCTTTCTTTCTCTATTTGGAGACTCCTGTATTTTCCTATCACTTTTCTCAATTTTCTCATTTTCATTTCCAGGATCACTGATTGAGCGATGATGTTTACGCTTGCTTAGCTTTTCTGGTGTTTGATTTAATAATTGTATACTGTTGTTTGTTTGAAGGATTCTAGAAATGGAGTTATTTAGGTTTAAATTAAAAATAAGTATTAATTGAATATTTTTGTTTTATATGACTGGCAGATAAAACGATGTAACTATTATTCTGTTTGTGTCAGTATAAGACATAAAAAACAGGTTAATTTAATCAGAAATTTATTAAGTATCAATACATACTATAGTATATATACATTACATAATATATATAGTTTAATTTAACAAATAAATGATACAATATTCATAATATATACAAGTCTTAATGTTTAGCTACTATATATCATTGGCATACTTTTAATTTTAATCAAGCACCCTTAGGAAATTTTAAGACCAACTCTTTTTATAAACATAATACCATGTTTGTTGTATTTTAGAGAATTTGTAATCAGGGAAACTTTAAGTAGGAAGAACTTATATCGTTATGACTTACCCGTCTGTCTGATTCCTTAAAAACGATAAAAAATATGCAACAAATTCGTTTCTACTACAACAAAATAGTATACAGTCGTCCGGCGCACCCTGAAATACAAAAACTTGTTGATAAAAATTGTAAACACAAGCCAAATACGAAAAAATGAGGTTAGACCTCTATGGACTCGTTGTTCAGCCACTGAATTAATAGATCACAGTTTAATTTCCCAGTCAACACACTTTCAATAACTTCAGTCATTTTTGTTTCTTCATGAAATAGAAAATAGTTTGCGATCGATTCCTGAGAATGCGCGCTGAAACGATAGCCATAACAAAAATTTGACAACTATTAACTAGGCAAATCTGAATCAAAGTCAAATAAATGTAAATGTCACCTTTGATGTACAAAATTTTATCATTTTGAAAATTTACTATTATTTTATAGCCAATGAGAAGCAGTCTTATTAATTTATATTGGGAAAATTATTGTTTACATTTTAAGATTTTACAGTTTTTAGTTTTCTAGCATGTTATATTAAACTTTTCATAATGTCTGAAACATGGAATATCAGTGGTATATGCCGCTGTTGCCACTCTCATGGCACATTTAATAATCTTGAGGAGTTGTGCTTATATGATGAAAAAGGAGAAACTTATTCCAATAAGTTGCAAAATACGTTGAGTGTTACGGTACGTGTAATATAACTTAACATTAATCCGTTTCCTCAATTACAATGCAGTAAACGTTATTACATATTTTGCAACAATGAAAAAGTAATGATATGATTCTGTAAAAATCATTCTTATTATTTAACAAACTATGTAGGGCATTCAGATACCATACTTGGAAATTAACTATTTTTTATTTTATATTTAATAGGGAATTGTTAATTGGCCTAATGTGGTCTTTTGAATTTTCAGTTATGTCAAGTTGGAGACACTTTAAAGTCCTTCTACAGTATTTGTGATGTATGTATACCAAGACTGCGAGATGCTGAGCTGTTTAGATTACAAATATTAAGATGTGAAGATCAATTTTTACAGTATTACAATGATTATTACATTAAAGGTAAAGAAAGCATTTTATTTGATCCCAAAGCCAAACCTTTATAGTTATTTTATGTCTAATATTTGTACTAATAAATAAATACTTGAGTGGAACATTGTAACAAATTTTTTATATATTTTTTTTTAAATAGGCAAATCTTTGTAATATGTTTTGGCTTGGGAAAATAATGGATTAAATTATTTTGCAGAAACTAAAGAAGAACCTTTGGATGAAGTAACTTCAGTAAATAATGAAGAGACAGGTTTGTAAATAATATATTTATATTCTATAAGTGTTAGTCCTTAATGTTTCCATTTGACACTTCAGGCAAAATTCACCTACTGCATCAGTCAACTCTGGTTAGAATAATTTGTTGACTAGATTTGGATTTCTTTTATTGTAATTTTATGTAATTACAAACTAAAATTAATTAATACTTAATCCTGCTAATCAAATCTAAAATGCTAAAGTTCATAGATGGCTTAAAATTTTGTGTTTGATTATCAATTAATTTAATTAATAATATTGATGTTGTAATTTCAGATGAAAAATTACTACTAGAGGACACTTTCTCAGACATAGATGACCAGCCATTGGCTACCTTACAGAGTCAAGATACTAAACCTGATATTAACTGGGTAACACCTCCAGTGATGGATTGTGGTAAGTTGTTACTACTAAGCTCAAACTCAAAATAAGTTTATTTATATATGTAATCAAGTACACTTATGAATGTCAACAGAAAAGATATTAAATTGATTCTGAATTTACATTTACGACATTTTATTATGGCAGAGCAGCCATAAATATTTGAACTGAAGCAAATCAATTCCAAGGATTAGGATCATTTAAATAATTGTCAAACTTATAAAAAGCTTTATTAATTAATTTACTTTTAAAAGTTTTATATTTATTCAGTGATAATTCTCTAATTTCGCTTGGGAGTTTGTTGTAAAAACTAATACAATTTCCATACAAGGATTGGTGTATCTTCTGGAGCATGGTTGGTCGTACGCTTAGATGAGTTCTGTTTCGAGTATGTATTATACTGGCGAAAGTCACCATTTATTTTAAAATCGTTAATTTTTTTGAATATATAATGTGGCTTCAAGAATATATTGACCAGACAGTGTCATAATATTAATTTCTTAAACTTATTACCACATTATTTATTTTATTGCAGACATCAAACCTTTGAAGCAAGAGTCTAAGAAATACACCTGTGATGTATGTCAAAAGAAATTCACGTACCACGGTTCGCTAGAAATGCACATACAAACGCACAAATTCGAGAAAACCTACCCATGTCTTATATGCAAAGCGATATTTAAGAAAAATAAAGATTTAATAATACATATAAGTGAGAATCACGAAGATAACGGTTATGCGTGTAACTTATGCGAAAGTAATTTCGATGATCCACGGTTATTGAAAAAACACTTTTCGATACATCTAGTGAAGTTTAAATGTGAATTTTGTGAGAAGGAGTTTTCTAAGAAGAAAGGTCTTAAAGAACATTTAAAAGTGCACACGAGGGAAAAGAAATACAAATGCGATATTTGTCACAAATGCTTTGGACATAATCAGACTTTGAAATCGCATATTTTGACGCATACTGGTAAGTGGCTTGACTGATTAGTGTAGTTTTACCATAAAATTACCGTAGATTTCACATCTATATATGGCATGGTTTAAAATAGTTGAGTATTAAACATTTTCAAGATTTTTTTATCATTTGGTTTAGGAAAACTGAAATAGTTTTGCTAACATAAGAATTGTTTTAATGTATTTTATATGTAATTGTATTTTTTCAGGTGAGCGTCCCTACGTGTGTGATATATGCGGGCGTCGATTCCCGCAACGCACACATCTAAAACGCCATATACACATTATACACACAGGCATAAAACCGCACACGTGCACATCTTGCAACAAGAAATTTTCCAGCAAAAGCTATTTGTTAATACACCAACGGCAGCACACAGGCGAAAAACCCTTTAAATGTGACGTTTGTAATAAAAACTTTAGGGCGTATACAACTTTGAAAGTACATATGAGGGTACACACAGGTTTTAAACCATATCTATGCACGTTCTGCGATAGGCAGTTCGCGCAAATGGCCAGTTTTAAACTCCACGAAAGGACGCACACGGGTGAACGGCCGTTCAGTTGTAAAATATGTAAAAAATCCTTTTCAGATAATGGTTATTTGAAAATTCATATGCGCATTCATACTGGAGACAAGCCGTTCGATTGTGATATTTGTAAGCGATCTTTTAGAGAAACGGGACAATTAAAACGCCATATGCGTGTACATACAGGTGTTAAACCCTATACATGTAAAGTATGCAATAAGCAAATTGGCAATTTATCGAAACATATGAGGGTACACGACGAAAAGTATTTGAATGAATTCGCAAATGGGAAGTTAAAAATACACTTGCGGGTACATAGTTCTAAGTATTGTGATGTATGTAATAGTAATTTCACGGAAATCAGTGATTTGAAACGGCATAAATGTAAAAATGATGTGTGATTTTTTATGCAATATATTTATTATTTGAAGATAGCTTTTTATATACCCAACGGCAAGCCCGTTAAAAAATGTAGATACAGCCAAAACCGTTAACGACGACATCGTTTAGAACTATATACCGGTTATATTGACCAAATTCAAAGGTCCCGGCTGAATTCTATTGTATTAGGTACTTAATAACAACCTCATCGGCTTTTACGACCAAATATGAGTAGTCCCTTCGATGTCGTTATAACAGATTTTAACTATATATATTTTCACTAAATATATATACTCACTTTTAAACGGACATAAACGTGAATATATTTGCAATTGTGAGCGAGAGGACCACGTCAAGTTGAAAGATAATTTGGTATTTAAATTAGTGTAATTTAAGTTTTGCCTTATTAACGCCATCTATCGCCAAAAGTTGGTATTTGTTATATTCCGCTGGATATTTTAAGTATCTTATTTTTGTAAACCCTAAAAAATTTCATATTTATTGAGATATAGGTAATTTCCAGTTTGTGACATCAAGGATATGGAAATCTGGGTTTTCTCATTAAATGACATAATTATTATAATATTATTAGAGTCTCGGTGAGATACGTGAGCAGGATTAAAAGAGGACGTAATAACAAGGATACGGAGGAATGTTTAGGTGGTATAATTTTTGTTTTATTCTCATTCGTTTTGTATGTATAGTGAGGCTTTTAGGCTATACTCTGATTTTTAATTCCGTAGAATTCTGACAGCTATCACTTTTTGACATGTCAGTGATGGCAAACCTTTTTGGCCGGGCTCATTTTTCAATTTCAATACGAGTCTGAACATCTGAGCCTATACATACATTTTATTGTTAGTTAATGTATCCATTTTATTAAGTGCGGTACTCTACATTAAAAGTGGTTTAATGGCGAGTGGTAATTACGTTCCTTTTCATCAGAAACTGTAAAAAACGCACAAGTAAAGATAATTTTTTTTAAAGGTTTACTAAACCTGGAATTAGTACGCAGTGATGCCAGCTAAAGAATAAAATATAGTAATTAAAGTTTATTCGATATATTGTTTTGTGATATTGAAATATTTTTTAATTTTGTATTAGGTAACTTGAGTAAGTAAATGTTTAGATAACAAAATAGATACAAGGAAGAAGTGGCTATTTGATACCTTCTTCGTTCCTTTCTTTGTTGTTTGTCACATAGACGAAAGTTCTTTATTCTAAAATTGATACAATGCTTTTTCTAAGTGTTGTAAATTATACAGTGCAAGTGATATAAACCTAACAAATGTTTGACGTCCAATATAACGAGGAGTCCCAGTACAAAATAGTATACTTAAAATTAAAATTATACAAGACAAGTTTAAAAGGTTTCTATTACTGTAATAGGGCTAACATTAATAATTTGTTTAAAAATAAAAATATAGTTACAACATGTTTTAGAGCTGTGTTGGCCTAGTGGCTTCAGCGTGCGACTGTCATACCTGAGGTCGTAGGTTCGATCCCCGGCTGTGCACCAATGGAACTTTCTTTCTATGTGCGCATTTAACATTTGCTCGAACGGTGAAGGAAAACATTGTGAGGAAACCGACATGTCTTAGACCCAAAAAGTCGACGGCCGCGGCGTGTTTCAGGCACTGGAGGTTGATCACCTACTTGCCTATTAGATTTAAAAATGATCATAAAACAGATTCAGAAATCTGAGGCCAAGACCTAAAGAGGTTGTAAGGCCACTGATTTATTTTATTTTTTATGGTTTGGCCATGTAGAGGCGTGAATGAGAAGTGGTTAACAAGTAGGATGTACTAGGCAACCGTGGATGGTGAAGTCGGGTTGGGTAGGTCTTGTCGTATATACCTGGACCAAATCCAGGAGGTACTAGAGAAGAGACACAAGGTGAATGTCATGAAAGTGGATGAAGCGAGAGAGTTATGTCAGGAGCGTAGCAAGTGGAGATCCGTAGTCTCTGCCAACCCGTCGGGAAAAAGGCGTGAAGATATAAATAAATAAATTATTAGAATCAGCCAGTATTAATTTGAAACATGTGACGTGATTTTAACAACGGAGTAGCCATACTGTTGTCTTAAACTGTTATACTCGGCAAATAAAAACAATGAGCTATTATGATTCTTATTTCTATACACTTAAATACTGACACGCTTTCTCAATTAATACGTTAAATAAAGCTTAGCCGACATTAAACCATTAGTCCATTGTATTTAGATATCAATTTAATGATGAATCCGTTTTATATTGATAAGTTAAAACTCGCCGAGACGATATCTTCTGCTTCAGACGATTTATATTAACGCCATTTGAGAGCAAGACTGCCGTTGATGTATGTAAATTTTGCAGTTGTCAACAAATTTAGCGAAAGTGCAAACGCGTAGGAATGTAGTGTTTTAGTGATGACACGGTTTCGTTTTATTCAATTTCGGGATTCCATTTAGTAGGTACCTTCGACATAATATTTTACGTACCCATGCAAAACCAAATGATGCTATTAAATTTTAAATTAATTATGATAGTTAATAAATCGAAATATATGTTAGTACCTCATATATAAATTAGTTTGCTTATTAACTAAGTGACATATTATAGGTAATTTTTAATCAGCTTCAAAGCTATAACTACTTTCTTAATAGCAAACAGAAACACCACCTCAAATGAAGAATATATATTATATGATTTAAAGTAAGTTAAATAAATTTCTCTTAGAGAACAGTTACCGACATTTCTCTCATTGTTTAATCGCCCAATGAACGCCGCACCTTAAATTGGAAAGTGGTCAAGCTTAGTTTGAATCGCGACGTTTGGCGCACCGCTTGTGACCATAGAGGTGTCATTCGAATTTAAAAAGAAAACTCTGGCGGGAACATTTGACATCTGTAAGCTGTCAAAATATTGTGAACGTGAAACCGCGATTTGTGGTCAAATTGTGTTGTGTTCAGTTAAATTGAGTGTTATTTCGCAAAAATAAATAACAACCAGGTACGGTAAGATTTATGGCCATACGTGACCTCAATTTTCTTAGCTTGTAAGTTATATGTGATATTTCTATGGAAGTTTTTCTAGCAAGCACTTAGCACTAGCTAATATTTATGTGTTTTTTAGAATTTGTAGCTTAAATTACTTATAGGGAATTTCTGTTTACTTACTCTTTTAAAAAAAAAATGAAGGTCTTAGCTAAAAGTTGTTATAGTCTTACATGTTACACATAATTAAACTTTGAAATTCCTATTTAAGAATGGAGTTTAGAAAACTGCCAATTTTCTTAAAGAAATTGTAGGTAGGGGATTCCGTTCATAGGTAAACGGGTGTCTATAGGTTGCCATAGTTACCTTTTATAGGCGACCTAGTCTCGTGCGGCCTCCTAATATATTAAAAATCCCGCTCCCTTTTTTCTTTACGCAAGGATTTTTAATTATTAATATATACACGACGTATTGCTCACTCTATTTATGCTTAAGACCTCATTAAGAAGCAAAAAGATTCCAAACTTATTTATGCTTTGCTATTTTGGGCGAATTAATAAATATTAATTTTGCATTTTTTACCACATAATTGCTATTACGTAACTTAATAATTTGTTGGTCTAATAATATTTAAGTAACGACCCGTTTTTTAATGTCAGCTGAAACCGGATATTGTTAATTGCAAGTTTTGCAAGGTTTATTTAAATTCTTTCCTTATTGGTTCTATTTTACAACTGTTACGTGTAAGAAGTGGCCCTGTATTTTTAAACGTTTTACATTACGATCTAGCCTTAAACTTAAGACTAATAAGTAATTTAAGTCTAACTTAGTTTACGAATTTTTAACATAAGGAAGTGTGCAATAACACTACTTACAGTCACTATTAAAAGGAAGACTGTTCTAGTGTTCTATTTTATCACTTAATACTAACGTGCACTAACACTAATTCACAAGTACAAATGGTTTTGTCCCTTTAATTTTTTCATATTTTCCCTTTGGATTTTTAAACGTGAATTAAACTTTAATCAACGTTCTCGACAGTTTATATTGAGCTGAGACTTACATAAGCTTTACTGTATACAAATGCCTTCATAATAATAATTTTGATTTAATTAATTAAGTATCGTAATGCTTTACAGCATACTGAATTGATAAAAAATTTCAAACGAATAAACACGTTTCTCAACGGCATTTTTTTTCTTAAAGTATTAACGTATAGTTATATCAAGACTTGAGTGTCCCACGAATCGAGTTCTACCCACTAAAAACATAGCTCCGACTAAAAATAGAACTAAATACTCGACTAATAAAATAGGCAGTTCTTGAAACATACAATATAGAAGCAATCATGACACACTGTTTCATGATCATGTCATGATGTTTATATACTTTATGAGCGGATCAGACGAGGAAGTATTTAATATAATTGGTGTCAATATAATAAGGTCTGGCCCATTGGGAACTACAGGTCCTCAACGAATAAATTAAGTATAAGTATTATTGAGCTTATTAATTGCTTTACAATTTAAGGGTAGGATTCAGAGCCGAGAATTAGCGCTAAGTATGACTGACCCTGTATGTCCCGTCGACCCATTATTAAAATAATTAGTAAAATTTACAAAGAAATGTATCTGCCTCATCTGCCACTACGGGTCATCATTCTCTTGGTTCGAAACTAAGTATGACTACCTGTATTTATTAATTTGCTAGTTTTGTATAGCATTATTACGTATTATATTCAGAGAGTAAGTATAAATATGATTTTAAAAAATAACTAAGACGACAACGCACTTGCGAGCCTTCTGGCATTGTGAGTGTCCATCGGCGGCGGTATCACTTAAAATCAGGTGAGCCTCCAGCCCGTTTGCCTCCTGTTACATTAAAAAAGTACTTTGACTTACTTTTATAACAGGCTATTTTTTATACAAAGTCAAATACTTTTCTCCAAAAGTAATGTTGCAAAAAATATAGATATCATTTAGTATCTGTGTAAAAATTTTTGACTATCTATATCATACATGCCTTGTATCTTACCTCCATTTTCT